GTACCAAAATGCAAACACACTACATATTGATAATATTATATTATTATTTGACAACTTAAGTCTCAATTTATAGATTTAACTGATGTATATATAATTTACAGTATAAATATTATATAATCATAAATAAATATCTACATATGTCATTTCTTCATTTTGTAGGACCATGTAGTAAATGATAAAATGGGTTTTAATTCTAATGAATTCTGTATTAAAGTTGTTATAATTATGCTTGATTCTTGGAATTTGGCTACTTTATCTAACTGCTATGACCAACTCAAAAAAACTCAAATATTGATTATTGATGACTTTATATAGGCCTTTAGTTAACTTTATTGAGAAAAATGATTTATATTTGAAATTTGTCAATTTAAAACAAACAAGTTTAAAATATTAACTTCCCTACTTATTTTTTTATTGCTTTTTTCCAATTTTTGTGTCCAGAAAGTTAAAAAATAAGCATATTAGCCAGAAAATAAAAGTGTTATTTTACAAATCCATCATTATTAGTAACATATGCTATTCAATGGTTGATTGGCATATGTTGCCATTGCACACAATTCTCATACATTATTATATTCTCCTATTCATCAGTTGTATAAACATTATCTGCCCAGCATCTTTGGCCTTTGTGTATCCATAAATTCTCTATCTAGAATATTGCATATCTTATATTTGAATATTTTTTAATGTTTGAAATTAATATTCTACATTATTACATTAGTAAATAATAAATCAAACATAATAAATTTCCTTTTATTTAATTAAAATGTTGAATAATATGAGCATTATGCATGGAATATGCATACTAAGCCTAATTAAGTATTCTATTTACAATATTGGTTTATCTGCTGGTAGTGCATTTCTATGATTGTTCGATTATTCTATCACGACAAAGAGAGATGATGGACATCATGTGACTTTTTACAATTGTTTGTATTCCTGTCTTAAAAACCAATCAAAATTCTATAGGATCACATGTTATCTACAGCTAATGACTGCAACTAAAAGGGCATGCACTAATTGGAGGTCATTGTATTATTTTTCACTATGTCATAATTAATGAAATTTTATTTATATCCAGATAAGGATATTATTACCTAGAGTGACCATCTCCTTATTAGGTACAGGGGTCATTCCGTGCCAACTCAACAAATTTTCAGAAAACCATGGCTGGGTACCGTCTCAGATTTTCTTGAAACTCGGATATAATGTGCGCCAACATGTCTGACGAACAAACCCAAAATTTGACTTGCCAATTCCAAGTCGTTTAGAAGTTACGGCCATTTGAAATTTTAGGGTCATACCCCTTTTTAGCTATCAATTATGACATATTTGTAAAGTTGCATTTTCAATTAGCCATATCTTCAAATAGAATAAAAATAGTTAACTGAAAATTGATATCTAGACTAACTTTTGGCTTTAGAACAGGAATATGACATGACTTCTGGTATACTGGACCCCGTTACGAAAATATTGGTTCGTAAACTCCCTAACTTATTTGGTTGTGTAATTTTTCTTCCATATTTAGACCCCATTAAAATACCCAAATCAGTTATTAAATGGGTCTTATGCAAAAAATTATTAATATATAGTTGGAAATGTTTCACCACAAAAAATTCCGGATTTTTAACTTTTTAGGGGATAATCGTAGGTCAAAAGGTCATTCGGGACAAAAAATGCACAAAAATGCCTCATTTTCATGGTGACCTGTGGGCAAGTACGTTTGTTGTTAAAACTTGCACCATTAATTAATTTACATATGATGATCAGATGTTCCAAATATCAGCTTGGTGTCTTTATCCCTTCATGTTTAAAAAGCGATTTGAAAAGGGGATATTTTTCAATTTGCGACAGTATCAGTGCATAAATGTGATAAAATAAATTTTTGAATAACGATAATATTAAAAATAATCTGCTTAGACCCTTGAAACTTATAATTCTAAAACAACTTTATGTGCTTATTTCAGGCATGCAGTTCGTTAAGGGATATAGTGTTTCATTTGTAAGATATGTCCCCCCAAAAATGGCCCAAGTGCAAGAATTGCGCAATAAAATTGTATTTACTGTTAGATTTCAAATGAGCATAATATTATCCGTGTACTGTCTAGAGCCGTGAAACCTTTCATTCTAGGACATCTTTTTGTGTTGATTTCAGTTATGCAGTCTGTTAAAGGGATAAATTGTTTAATTAGTAAGATATTATGCCCCAAAAATGGCCCAAGTGCAAGAATTGTGCAATAAAATTGTGTTACGATATTGATTTCAAATGAGCATAATATTATCTGTGAACGGTCTAGAGGCATGAAACCTTTCATTCTAAGACAACTTTTTGTGCTGATTGCAGTTTGTTAAAGGGATGCATTGTTTAATTAGTAAGATATTTTGCCCCAAAAATGGCCCAAGCGCAAAATTGCACTATAACATTGTGCAACTATTTTGATATTTAAAATGAGTATAACATTAACAGTGTACAGTTCAGAACCATGTAACCTTAAATTCTAGTACATATTTGTACACTTATTTAATTCATGCAGTTTGTTAAGGGATACAGTCTTACTAACTAATAGTTAGTAAGATAGTTTGCCCCAAAAGTGGCCCAAGTGCAACAATCGAGCAATAACAATGTGTGACATTGAATTTAAATGACCATAAATTTTACATTGTACTGTCTAGAGCCATGAAACTTTTACTTCAAAAACAACCTTTTGTGCTTATTTCAGTCATGCACTCTGGTGGTAAGGGACACAATGTTTAATTATTAAGATATTGGGCCCCCAAAAGTGGCTCTTGTGCGAGAATGGTGAAAAGCACTGTTATTTCACAATTCTGGGGTCGGTACAATATCTTACTAATTAAAGACTGTGTTCCTTACCAGACTACGTGACTGAAATAAGCACAAAAGTTTTTCTAGAATTAAAGGTTTTATGGCTATAGGCAGTAGTACACCGATAATATTGTGCTCATATTTAAAATATATGTTACTATGCAATTCTTGCACTTGAGCCATTTTTTGGTGCAAAATATCATACTAACTAACCACTCTGTCCCTTAACAGACGTCATGAATTAAATAAGCATACAAATGTGTACTAGAATATAGGTTTCATGGTTCTAAATAGAACACTGTTAATGTTATGCTCATTTGAAATATATCAATATATAGTCGCACAATGTTATTGCGCAATTTTAGCACTTGAGCCATTTTTGAGGCAAAATATCTTACTAATTAAACAATGCATCCCTTTAACAGACTGCATACCTGAAATCAGCACAAACAGTTGTCCTAGAATGGAAGGGTTTCATGGCTGTCTAGACAGTACATGGATAATATCATGCTCATTTGAAATCAATAATATAGTAAACACAATTTTATTGCACAATCTTGCACTTGGGCCATTTTTGGGGCAAAATATCTTATTAATGCAACAATTTATCCCTTTAACAAACTGCATAACTGCAATCAGCACAAAAAGTTGTCTTAGAATGAAAGGTTTCATGGCTCTAGACCGTTCACAGATAATATATTATGCTCATTTGAAATCAATCGTAACACAATTTTATTGCACAATTCTTGCACTTGGGCCATTTTTGGGGCAAAATACAATTTATTCCTTTAACAGACTGCATAACTGAAATCAACACAAAAAGTTGTCCTAGAATAAAAGGTTTCACGGCTCTAGACAGTACACGGATAATATTATGCTCATTTGAAATCAACAGTAAATACATTTTCAGGGGGACATATCTTACTAATGAAACACTATATCCCTTAACGAACTGCATGCCTGAAATAAGCACATAAAGTTGTTTTAGAATTATAAGTTTCAAGGGTCTAGGCAGATTATTTTTAATATTATCGTTATTCAAAAATTAATTTTATCACATTTACGCACTGATACTGTCACAAATTGAAAAATATCCCCTTTTCAAATCGCTTTTTAAACATGAAGGGACAAAGACACCAAGCTGATATTTGGAACATCTGATCATCATATATAAATTAGTTAATGGTGCAAGTTTTAACAACAAACGTACTTGCCCACAGGGTCGAAGGTCACCATGAAAACGAGGCATTTTTGTGCATTTTTTGTCCCGAATGACCTTTTGACCTACGATTACCCCCTAAAATGATAAGTTAAAAGTCCAGAATTTTTTGTGGTGAAACATTTCCAACTATATATTAATAATTTGGTGCATAAGACCCATTTAATAACTGATTTGGGTATTTTAATGGGGGCTAAAAATAGAAGAAAAATTACGCAACCAAATAAGTTAGGGTGTTTACGAACCAATATTTTCGTAACGGGGTCCAGTATACCAAAAGTCATGTCATATTCCTGTTCTAAAGCCAAAAGTTAGTCTAGATATCAATTTTCAGTTAATTATCTTTATTCTATTTGAAGATATGGCTAATTGAAAATGCAACTTTACAAATATGTCGTAATTGATAGCTAAAAAGGGGTATGACCCTAAAATTTCAAATGGCCGTAACTTCTAAACGACTTGGAATTGTCAAGTCAAATTTTGGGTTTGTTCGTCAGACATGTTGGTGCACATTATATCCGAGTTTCAAGAAAATCTGAGACGGTACCCAGCCATCCCATTTGTTGAGTTGGCACGGAATGACCCACAGGATAATTTAAAATTATAATGACAGTATTGATAATAATAATATTAGAGTATCAGATTATTTAAAACTGTTATTTCCATTGATCCATTGAATGATTTGTAAATTAAAATCAATCAGTCGATTTATCAAATCAATCAAATCAACAATCAATTTCTCAATCCGTCACTGGTTTATTTACGCGGTACAATTACACAAGTCCCCTATGCAAGAATTTATGGAGACCCCTATCATCAGCACTGTTGCAAATACATTGACTGTTTGGTCAGCTTAATAAATTGATTCCGTTTGAATTTATGGAATACCCAATACTCATTACAAAAGTTTCGTCGGTATTAATAGAAACAAAATTATATTGTATCTCTATTTTTCAGGTATTGCTGAATACTCATAGTTCGGAAAAATGTTGAGGATATGTACCAAAAACATCTTGGAACGGCATCCTGTCATTATTTCGCTGCACAATGGGATATTTTTCAAGCAATGTGGAGTAATTTCAACCTGTCTTAAGAATACAGCCAAAACGCATTGTGCCATTTATCAACTACCCAGGTTAAATAAATTCTTACAGTCCCATCAACCAATCAGATCATTTCTTACAGCTGTGTCGGCAACAGGTTTCAATGATTATGAACTAGGACTAAAACATTTTCAATTGGAAGTTCCAGAATATTTCAACTTCGTTCAGGTTCTTGATGAATGGGCAAATAAAGAAAAGGTAATAAATGCAATACACACACACACACACAATAATTCAATAACACTTCCACACATGCAATAATTTTACACTATTTTATTGCATTTCCTGCTCTTTGTATTTTATCGTCATACAATGTTTTAATAATATATCTTAATACTTTTTACTGTTTTTTAATAATATATTTTAATGTTTTAATAATATACCTTAGTACGTTTTACTGTATTTTAATGTTTTAATAATATATCCCTTTAACTCTATTTTACTGTACTGTTTGGAACATTTAAAAGTCTGCTTTAATTATTTATATTTGATCGCTTAGCATCAAAGCACATTCCTGTTATATTTACTTATATAATAGACTGAATAAAATGAATTGAATTGAATTAAATTAACTTCTACAAATATAGTTTAATCTTTTTTTCATAGTATATTTCACTTCCTAAGTTACAGTAATGTGCATTGCATTATACATTTGATGACCATTAATTCTGCAGACTGGTGAAAGAAGAACAAAAAACCCAGCGCTTTGGTGGATCGATGACCATGGAGATGAAATAAAATGGACATTTCAAGATGTGCAAGTAAAAGCGAAAAAGTAAGTTTTTGTGCACATTCTTTAAGCAAGGGTTATCCATCCTATGAAGCAGGTCATTTAGGATCTTGATGTTCTAATCTATAATCCGATTTCTCAAAATTAACAGTGCAGGAAAAAAAGCAGCTTAGATCAGTTGACTAACCTGGTGGTAGCCACTGTGTGTGCGCTGAACCGTGGAGATCTATTGGTCCCCGGTTCAATTCCCATCACTGCTCTCCTTGTGTTTCAGCTAAAATGCAAGTGTCGATGGCACATCGCCTTTCGGGTGATACTTTTAAGCTGTTGGTCCTGTGTGCAGTATGACTTGTTAAAGAAAGCAGTACACTCTTTCGAAAAGAGTAGGGGATTGTTTTCCAGTGTATCACCACAAGAATAACCCCAGTGGAAATAAGTCTTTTTCAGACTATTGTGTGTTATCCTTGAGGCTTCGGACTTGTACAGGTTGCGGTACAGGGTAAAGCCTGCCCGCTGTGGGGTTATTTTACAATTTAAGGACATATTAATTTTAGCCGAAAAGAATATATAAATATAATATGTTAGATTTATATAGTGCTTAATGCCAACAAGGCCTCTAAGCCCTTCACATTACTACCCCCGGTCACTGGATTAAATGCCTATGGAACACAAACTCAAGCTCCCTGGGTTGGGGAGTATTCCATAAAGTTGCAGCAGCTACATCAGCGCATCTTGGCATTTAACCCAATCAGGTACACATTTACTTTTGGGTGAAGAGAAGCAATGCAGATAAAGTGCTTGCGCAAGGACACAAGTGAAATGCACAGCGAGGGGATTGAAACCCCAACCTTGAGGTTGGGAAACCAAACCGTTCCCACTGCGCCAAACCACTTCTACGCCACTCCTGAGGCCCCTAGCTTTAGCCAGTGACAGCTCATAACTTGCGCCACTTGCAAATACTTATTAATTAAATACTTAACTACAGATTTGTGTAATTTCAGAGTTGCTAATATTCTAGACAAAGTTTGCCAGGTGAGAAAAGGAGAAGTTGTGATGCTAATCCTTCCACGGGTTCCAGAGTGGTGGCTCTTTAATGTTGCATGTCTACGTACAGGTAATAATTATGTTTAACCCCTAATATTTTTATGACTACCCAATTTACACCTTGAATATATACTTATGGTATCAGTCTCCCCTTACACTTTATCCCATCCATTATTGAAATTATTAAAAGCAAGTAATAATTATTGAATACAAATCACAATTACATCCAATAGGTCAAATTTAACATATGATTTAAATTGACATTTTATGTGACAAATAAATGTAATATTCCCATATTTAATTGTAGTGTGGCATCATAATGCCCATATATGTAAACATCCCAGAAATCTGTCGCATAAATTGTAATAGTGTGGAGAGCTTTATAGTCAGTGTGGTTATGTTTTTAAGTCTGAAGCCTTTAAATTCAAAATAATTGTTTTTTAAATTTATTAAAGTTTGATTGATCATATCAGTACATATTGAGCCAAGTAGCTGAGTAAATTGTTTTATTATAACATCTTTAGTATTTTAATTAGTATAATTATTCCTACAAATATGGTTGTGGTCAGAGCCAATAAATATTTAATGTTTCCTTCAGGTATTTGATATAACTGTTATGGTGCCCCCTAGAGGCAAGTAATATGAATGATTTTGTACAGCTTAGAGCTAGTTATGTTCTTCAAATAATAGTACATTTGGTGACATACAGTATTCTATTACAGTTTTAGTAAAGAAGTTAGTTATATTAGTTGGAAGTATTTTTCCATTTTAAATATTGGGTAAAAAATTGTTATTTATATGTAATTATGGAGCTTGTGTTTGTCCTATTAACATTTCTGTCTGTGTATATTCTAAGATTGTTGCTTGATTTTGTTGACAGGAACTGTGTTGTGTCCTGGAACCACGTTATTACGTGCAAAAGACATAAAGCGAAGACTCTTAGATTCCAAGGCAACTTGTATTATCAGTGATGAGAGTGTGGCACCCTTTGTTGACCAGGTTATCCATGTTTTTTTACAATACATCAAATTCTTTACAAACCACATTAGGAAGATGTGGTTTCTTAAAATACCTGAAGCCCTATCCAGAAAATGCGACATGCCTAAAATATGGTCATGATGACATCACATCATGATCGTATATGTGCACATCGTGACCCAATATGGGCATACAACAGTTTTTTTTGTCAAAAGAAAATTTGATAATCTGTTCGGAGATTTATTACTTTGCCTCACTTGAGGATACCCATGACTTGCTAACTTCAGAGAAACAATAATACAGCTGTAAAAATGTCACATATCCAACATTTCTCATCTACAATTCCATTTCTCTTCCATTTTCTATCCACCATTTTCCATCCTATTCCTGTGTGTCATCTTTCATCCAACATTTTCCATGCACCATCTGTCATCCATATAACCCCTTGCCCACCCCAATCCACATTTTTCATCCACATATATTCCTTATTAACCAATTCCCTATCTGCCTTTTCCCATCATTCATCCACTATTATCTATCCTTCTGTACCTCATCCACCAATTCTCATCCCCTATTCCTTGTCCACCCTTGCCTATCCCCTTCACCATCCAACATTCCCACGACCTTACTTAATTTTTCTACTTGGTTCTACAGGTGACTGACGAGTGTCCAGATCTTAAGAGTAAACTATTTGTATCCCAGTCCAACGAACCAAGGTAAAAACCATTAAACTTTAATCTTTGTATATAGATACCGTATACTGTGCAGGGGCACTGGGGATGTGGAGAAAAAATAAAACTGACCATAGAGCTAAAAAAAAGGGATTATTAAATTGAAAACCAAGCTGACTCTCAGATGCAACAACATGTAACATCACTGAAATTTTCACCAGCAAATTAAAGCACAAAACCTGCTGGTATATCATACACTATCTCTCAAATGAAGTGAGCAATTAGCGTGTGTAAATATTTAGCATAGACTAGACTGGTAGGGGATTTCTTCCAATCTACTGGCCACTTCAGTGGCTATTTGTTATGTTTTATTCTGTTAGCATTGAAAGTGCTTTGTTAAAAAATCTGAAAAAATCCCTCAAAATTCAAACTTTACAGTGCCCTCAAACATATCATTAGAGGAATAAGGTATTATTAAGTAAGTGATAAAATTGATTAATATGTTTGTTTTTAGAAATGGTTGGCTTGATTTTAGAAGTCTTTATGAAGAAGCTTCGGAAGAACATGAAGTTAGTTGAATTCATATTTTATTACAGAATGCATGCAATGGATCGATAAGTGCATATACTGAAGTTTTTAAGGCAAATGGGAAAAACCCATAAAACAGCAAACAGCCATATAATGCAAAACAATTTAAAATTAAAACGGAACAGTAGAGAAAATTCGATCAGACAAAATAAACTAAGCATCCACTGGAAGGAATCCCAATATCTGCAGACGGATCCGTTTCGGCCTTCCAGGCCTCATCAGTGCAGCTACGGTACAGACCCAAATGAAACGTTCGACCAGCTTAGATAGGGCCCAAACTAGTCCCACGACCACTAATGATTACAGAGCCAAACCAAGGCAATATATATACACAGCCCAGGTGTGAATGCAAATAGTGGAATACAAGCTATGCGGCTCGATTCCAGTATAGATACAGAGAATATTTTGTCATTCTTAACGCGTCCTACAAAATTCTTACGAGACAGCACTAGTCCATGAATTTGTGAACAAGATCGGAGATCTAAAGATGCAATCTCTACCGTGCATTAATGGTGGCGCTGGATCTCAATAGAGATTCTTAAGTAATATATAAGTTTTTAGGCAAATGGGAAAAACCCATAAAACAGCAAACGGCCATATAATGCAAAACAATTTAAAATTAAAACGGAACAGTAGAGAAAATCCGATCAGAATGACAAAATAAACTAAGCATCCACTGGAAGTAATCCCAATATCTGCAGACGGACCCATTTTGGCCTTCCAGGCCTCATCAGTGCAGCTAGGGTACAGACCCAAACGAAACGTTCGACCAGCTTAGGTAGGGCCCAAACTAGTCCCACGACCGCTAATGATTACAGAGCCAAACGAAGGCAATATATATACACAGCCCAGGTGTGAATGCAAATAGTGGAATACAAGCTATGCGGCTTGGTTCCAGTATAGATACAGAGTATATTTTGTCATTCTTAACACGTCCTACAAAATTCTTACGAGACAGCACTCAGTCCGTGAATTTGTGAACAAGATCGGAGATCTAAAGATGCAATCTCTACCGTGCATCAATGGCGGCGCTGGATCTCAATATATATATATATATATATATATGTATGCGATGTCAAGCCAAAACGGTCGGAAGTCGCCAAGACGATTTTAAGATATTAAGGCAAAACAATAGACAAGGTCAAATTTGCTCATTTTGGTGTTTCATTAAAAACATGTATATTAAGTATCTAAGAATAGGATTCAAATAATATTTTTCACATTTCAGTACCAAAAATACTGTAAAACGTGATTTTAGTTAGACACTCGAACCCGGAAGTATGAAAAACGAAGGCAAATCATCGTTTAAAATACTCACGAAATTACTGTTTTTTTTAATCGTGTTCCGGGGTCAAACTCGTGTTAAGTTTGATATCGTTAGAAAGCTTAGAATGTCAGCTACAATTTTGATTGGTCAGTTCATCCTCACAAATTGTTTAACCAATCAAACAGTCGTTTTGGTACTGTAAACAATTCGGAAGCGGCCTAGCAACAAACGGAAACACGCATGCTGATTGGTCTAATCCAGTCAGCTGACCATTTTTGGGGCGTGTCTAAGACCGCGTCGCTTGGGTTTTCGGTGGAAGCGTCGGCAAGGTAGTAGTGCGCGTTACATGTTTTCATTGAAGCTCGAAGTTCGAAGTTACTTGTTTACTGCTGTAATAATTATAAAACAATAATACTGTTTCTTTTACACAAGAAAGTTCGGTAGTACAGGTACATGCTAAATGGGCTATACTGTATAACACAGACTTGATAAAGTTGACGACGAATAAAACGCGTTCTGTAATAGTTTAACGCACTGGTTTCAAGGTCGCAGTGTTCGATTTCCGGTTGTTTACAGTAAAAACGACCATCACATCCGTAATATAACATTTATTAATGAATGTAAGTACATGAAACTTAATACAGTTATAAAATACATTATGTAAAAGGTTTTTGCGAAATTTCATTTCAATCGGTCAATGGTAACACCTCCGTTGTTAAGGAAGTATCGAACACACCGAACACATGTGAGTGAGCTACACGCTGAGCGCACTGCCAGCGACTGGGTGTCATAAACATCAGTTTTATCACCGTTTCTTCAAAACAGTAACTGCTAACCTCGCGCTATATAAATCGGTATAACTTTAAAACTAAGTATCAGAATTTAATAATTTTTTCACAGTTTTATTTATTATAATGTGATTATTCAGTTGACGGTGTTAAATAAGAATTGGTTTTTCCGACTTCCGACCGTTTTTGCTTGACATCGCCACATATTTAGAATTTAATACACTCTGTTGCGATCGCAATCAACAAACGCATTCAGACCAACACAAACAAAC